CTCCCCGTCGCCGAGCGCCCCGCGGCGGCGCGGCCGCACGCACTCGCACGTGTGCTTTATGGCGCGCTCGTCGCGTCGAGTGAAGGTGCGCCCCGGCGACGCAGAGGTCCACCGGCGTGGCGGGGCGGGGCGTCGCGTTATCAGAGTGATAGCGGGGCGGGCGTGCACGGCGCCCGGGCGAGTCCCAGTGCGCCGCCATGTGCGCTCCGTGCGGCAAGGTGCTCGCCTGGGGGCTACCCCCTCTCCGCATCTGGTGGAGGCAGTCTCCAGGTAGGAAGCGCCCTCCGCCTCCGCCCCAGCCCGACGCCTGCTCGGCGGCCTCGGACACGACGGCCTCGAGGTCGTCGCGGTCGTCGCGCTCCTCCAAGTCCACGAGCTCCGGCGAGAGCCGGGCCCTCGTGCGCCGGTGGGCCGCCCGTCTCCGCGTGCTCAGCAGCCCGTTCCCCCGGCGGCGCCGTGGTCGCGGCGGACGCAGCCTCGTCGTCAAGCCCGGCCACGGCCTCGGCCGGCGGTGGAGCCCCGTGACCAGGGCTCCCCGAGGGGCGAGGGATCTGTCAGGTACAGCAGGGGCAGTGCGGCCCGGCCTTGCTTCTCCCCGCAATGCCACGCTACTCCAGCCCTCGCCCTAGTTGCAGTGCCTCGTGGTGTTGGTGCGGCTCACCCCGCTCTCGAGACCCTCTTGACACCTTCTCAGGTGGCGTGCGGCAGTCACACCTCACCTGAGCGCCTATATATCCTCCCGGATGTTCCCCCTTAAGGCGCCCGACGAGGATGTCTCGCGTATTTCCGCGTCCTTCTGTGTTTTTGCGGTTCGCTTCGCTGGGGCCCCGGCGACGACGCCTCTGCCTCTCACTCCTCGCAGCTACTCCTCTGAATAACTTTGGTGTCATTCGTGAGAGGGTACACGACAAATAGAAACGTGTGACATTCGAACACTTTGAAGTGCGTGCCACCATGTCACACATTAAAAGACCGTGGCTGCACTATAGTGAGATGTGTATAGCTTTCCAGAACTTGAGTGTGTGGCCTGGTTGCCACACACTCTTTCGTGTGCCGGGGGATGGTGAGGGGTTAAGATCACGAGAAACTTTGATGCCTCTCAGTTGTGTGGTCCACAACCGATCTTGCAGAGCGTCTCCTGCTGGTTTGTTTTGTCGATTCCTGCTCATGGTTTTTTGATCAAATTTTGATCTGCTGAATTGCATGGTGTGCGCAATACTACGAAACAGAATAAGCCTGCTGGCTAGACAGTCTTGGGTCGTTATCGTGTTCCTGACGAGTGACAGCGTAGCTCTGCCCGCCCCGGCCCGGCCAAGCGCCGAGCCCAGCGAACGGCTTAGCCCTGCGCACGGGATTATCTTGTCATTCCCGGCCGATACCGAAAATACCATACAGGAAAATGATGATATCTGTCCGTATTAGATCGCTGTTCGTTTGACAATGTCATGTTGTCGTTTTAATTTACTAGTAGTTGAATTTTTGCCAGTAGAGGAGGAGGTCCTGCTTGTGTTGTTTTCCGTTTTTGATCGCGGCCTTGTCTTATCTGTCTGTAGTGCTTGTGGTTGCGGTAGAGGAGTGGCGTGAATCAAACTTTATTTTTCACACCTTTTTACCATATAATATCTTGAGAGATGACTTGGTTTGCTTTGGATCTTATTGTATCAGGAGTGTCACCGTACCTTTGGTCGCGCATGTGTCAATATATTCATTCAAGTTTTTAACACATGTTTTATTTTGTTACAGGGGTGCTGGAGATGACTGCCACCGATAATACCATTAGATTTAGTGGCCACACTTTAGACAAAGCCACAAAGGCTAAAGTAACTCTTGAAAATTATTATTCAAACCTGATTGCTCAGCATTTGGAGCGGAAGCAAAGGTATTATCCTTTTAATTAACTGTCAAAAT